TTTTTGGATATTTTATTACGAAAATCTTACATATTGTGCCTTTAAGTAATTTTCCACATTGACAATAATCAGAAATGTTTCTTGAGCAGCAAATCAGCATCTTAGGATGATTTCTGAAGATCATGTGACACACAAAAAATAGCTGTTTTAAATTGTAATAATTTGTCACTTATTTTACAGTATTTTTGATCAAATAAATGCAGCAGAAGAGCAGAAGAGACTTCTTTCAGAAACACTAAAAATCCAACCCTAAATGCTTTAACCCTAAATGCTTTTTTTTATGCTATATGATGTGATTTTGCTGCTGTCAGACCTTGCAGGGGAAGCTGAAGAGCTTGACGAAGCCAAAGTCGTCTCCAGTGGCCAGCAGCTTCCTGTCTTTGGTAAGTGAAGAGGCGTTGACGAAGCTGAGCGTCGGCCAGATGCCCTCACAGGTGGGACCCAGCACTGACGTCCATGTGGCCCATTCCATCTTCTCAAACTGAACACACACAAACACACAGGTACAATCAGAAATGTTTCTTGAGCAGCAAATCAGCATCTTAGGATGATTTCTGAAGATCATGTGACACACAAAAAATAGCTGTTTTAAATTGTAATAATTTGTCACTTATTTTACAGTATTTTTGATCAAATAAATGCAGCAGAAGAGCAGAAGAGACTTCTTTCAGAAACACTAAAAATCCAACCCTAAATGCTTTAACGGCAGTGTATATGAATATATGATGTGATTTTGCTGCTGTCAGACCTTGCAGGGGAAGCTGAAGAGCTTGACGAAGCCAAAGTCGTCTCCAGTGGCCAGCAGCTTCCTGTCTTTGGTAAGTGAAGAGGCGTTGACGAAGCTGAGCGTCGGCCAGATGCCCTCACAGGTGGGACCCAGCACTGACGTCCATGTGGCCCATTCCATCTTCTCAAACTGAACACACACAAACACACAGGTACGTGATGAGAACACTTGAGTTGGCGATATATCTGGCTGTGTGTGTCGTCTCTTTACCTCTGAACTGCTGATAGTTTGTCGTCTTCCACGTGGAGCTTCAAAAAATAGCTGCTCTTTGGCACCAGTGTTGACTTGAAGCAGTTTTCCTGCATTAATACACACACACACACACTAAAAGCTTGATTATGTCCTTAAGCATTTGTTTCTTTCTTTGCTAAAATGATGGATTTCTGCAGGTGCTGTTTTAATTTTTCCAAAGCAAAATACATATTCTTACAGCCAGGGGACAAAATTAATTTGTCTTTGGTGAGTAATTCATCAGTAACCGTTAAATCTGCAACAAAATGCATAACTTATAATACACATAATGACCTTTGCTGTAACTAACATGCAAGGAATAACTGCAAAAAAAAAAAAAAACCTGCTGTTTCCAAATGAAAAGTCAATGCAAACTAGAGTTTCATGTCCAGCAATTTCAACTGAAATGCATGTGTAGATTGATTTTAATTGTAACGCTCAACTCATCACACGTAGAGAGACATTAACTTGCATATTATTGCTTGAATCTATATTTGTGAGTTCTGTATGTTTGGATTACCGCGGACGTCCCAGTCCACATGTGTGATACAGCTGGACGCTCCTTTGCAGATGCCCACCCGCTTACTGGTCAGAACGTTATAAATGTCCACAAATGAGTCATGGGAGGCCACAGCGAGGTATTTTCCAGCATCTTCAAAAAAAGAAAAATGAAGAAGAAAAAATATGTGTGTATATATATATA